CCATCACAGCCCTAAAGTCTAGCCTTCCAAGGTGCCAGACATGACTGTGAAGCTATGAGCCAGAAGGAGCAGGTGTGAGGAGTTGAGAAGGCCCCAGAGCCCATGGGCCTTTCTCTTTTGCAGCTTAACAGAGGATGTGGGGGGTGAGGGTCAGGGGACAGCCATGGGCTGTGTGTATCAACAAGCACCATGTTGCCCTCTGGGATTTCCCAGTGACCCGGTGTCCCCAGCTAGGAGGGGCTTTCTACAGGTGGGCGTGCCGTGCCTCACCCTGGGAGAGAAATGGTCTGAGAGGTGGTGCGATCACCTGAGGAACACTGCTGGGAGGTGCTGTCACCTGGCAGTGATCAAACAGCTGACATCTAATACCTCATCTCTCCCTGTCCATCATCCTTCCAGCCTCTGGCACTGGTGGATCGGGGCTCTGCAGACATCATGTCAGAGGAGAGGATTTAACCACCACTGCCTTTCCGGCAGCCTGGGTGAATCCTGGGCTTCCTTCTTATATGAAGTTCAAGTATTCCTTAAAAGGGGCCCCAGTGGGGGTTAAATGGGAGGGGAACGGAGAGAAAAGTTTTTGAAAGGACTCAGTGATGAAATGCTCACCTAGAAAGCTCCATCCTGTCCAATAAATAAACAAATAAATCAAGCTGAAGAAAAAATAAAAGCAAAAAATCCAAACAGCAAGTGTTTACTAAGTCACTACAATGTACCAGAATGTTTTCTAGCTAAGAATTCTTAGCCACACATTCCTGAAACTCTGAGATGTTGAAAATAGAGGTTGCACGGCTCTCAAATAAGGCAGACTGATGAATGAGTCCATCAGTTTTAGGCCTCTACACGCATGTGCACCCACACACATACACCATGCATATAAAAACGGAAAAAGAAAAGTTACACTCCACTGAGTAGATGCCCAGCTATGGTAACAATGGGTACAGACTTGTGATGCCCATGCTGCCTCTGGGTCCATCTGTCCCTTTGTGATCTCTTTTGTGTTTGCCTGCGGCTCTTTTCCAATAGACCAGTTCTGAATTTTTTCAGCATGTCACAGGGATGTCTCAAGGGGCACACCCTAAGAAGTCTGTTATAATTTACAAAATGTCTGTCTCTGTATGCAGGTGAGGCTTTGCTACGGAAACTGGCAGCAGCAATTCATTAGAAGGCACAGTGGCACGGGGTAGAGCCCCCTGAAGTAGTGGCACACAGGACCTTGTCAGCCCTGTTTCCCTGAGAACTCTGGGGCTGCCTCTGGAGGGGATGGGACCACTTCTGCCCTGTGGTGAGGCCAGCAGGTTTCATTTTTCCAGCACAGCAGGATGAAGCCAGATTGAAAGGGGGGATGTGAGCAGGTAGTAATAGGAGGGTCTATATGCTGCCTTTACTTTCCATAAAGTGGAAGATGAAACATCACCTCTTCCATCCAACGATCACACAATGTTCTTGGTGCATTTCAAACATCATCGACCTTGAGGGTAAGCCCGTGTTAGAAGTTGGTCTTTGGCTACACAGGGCTGTGGTTCCCTCTATAAAAATATCAAGGCACTACACACTGCTGTCTTGCTACTTTATCCAATTTGGAGAGGGTGGGAGTTGAGAGAATCTCACTAAAGCCAAGGGTGACCTCCCAAGTGAAGGGATTACAGGTGCATGCCACCATTAATTAGATCGAAAGCAACAAGATTTGATGGCACATAAGTACCGTTAAATCAGACAGAGAACTGTAGCTCATGACTAGATAGAACCAAACTAGAAACGGGATCCAACGCATTAATAATGGCAGGTCCTGTTTCTTGAGTCTTCCCTTCCTTGGGACCAGAGCAGGCACACAGGAGTGTGTGTCCCCTAGCTAGATATGCCAGCCTTGTCGGTGCTGATGCAAGACCTTCTGGTAGTGGATGACCTGTTGGCACGAGGATCTTCTAGCATGAAGCTCAGGGTGGTTTCGGAGCTCAAGGAGATAGAAGCAGCATCCGTGAAGGTCTGGTGCTGGGTGCAGTCTTCTAGGGTGATCCTTCCAAATCTGCTCCATGGAACATGCAACTTATCTTCTAGGGGCCAGGTTCTCACAACCTCAGCCAGTGATTAACTACTTTTGCTCCAACAAACTGTAGCACCATGAAAACAAAACTCTGTAGTCTACTTGAGATCATTATTTTTGCTCTGATTAAAATTTTTATTGAAATCTCTCAAATATCATCAAGAAATAGTTTTGTTTTTGTTTGTTTTTTAAAAGAAGGGGGAAGGGGATAGGGTCCTGCTAACAATTTCAACATGGGAGCTCCCTCTGCTGGTCTGCAGTAGGTTGATAAGTGACAAACACATTCCCAGAGACAAATCTAATTTGCTGGAGAAGTGGACAAAAGACAGGTGTGTTGGGCTTTGCCTCTGGAGAGAAACACTAGAAGAAAAAAAAAAAAATCCATGTCTCAAAACAAAGCACAACATTGCAAAAAAAAAAAAAAAAAAAAAATTAAAAATAAAAAAAAAAAAAAAAAAAAGGAAAATCAGAAGACTCTCCAAGACACCCAGTTTCCAAAATAAAACCCCAGGTACCTAGGAAGGGGACCCCACTCTGTTCCCCTCCAGTCAGGATTCTCAGAAGCTATCCTGGCCTCCAAGGCTCTCTTGACAGATTTCCCATCTACTCAGAGAAGAAAGTTCCAAGAAATCGCTAGAGTAAGGCCTCTCCAAAATCCCATCAAGGGTAAAAGAATTCAGTGAGCCGGCACCTTGCTGTGTTAGTGAGCAAGGGAAGCAGGTGACAGGCCTGCTCTAAGAACCCTAGAACCACTGTGACTTGGGGCAACTCTCCATCTCCTCAGGATTGTTTCCTTATCTGTGTGACGGGATGGACCAATTGTCTGCAAAGCTCCTACTAGTTCACTCCAATAGCGACAAATGTTTATTAAGAATGTCCATTTAAGTGACTCCAGAGAAGTGAGACTCAACATGGATCTCACCACCAGCAGATCAGAGTTCCACCAAATCTAGAGCTGATAGCTGAGTTAGGAGGACTGCAGGCTGGGGAAATCTCAAGAGAAGGGGCCATGCGGTGATGCATGCCAGTGAGGCACATGGCCATGATGCATCTAATCTCGCACTGTGTCTCCATCCTTCCTCACAGTGGTGTAGGCTTTCTAAATCTCCCGAGACCCTTGTTAGAGCCTTTACCCTCCATATCCTGCAAATCACTCCAGATATCACGTCACATCATGACCAAAGCCAGTCTTCCCAGGTCTTTCTGGACATTGGCAAGCTTTGATTCTCCAGGCCGTAGTGAATGACTGTTGCCGACTACCCGAAGCTGCACAAAAGGCTATGTACAACCTGGCATTGTTTCTTGGCATGTACCGCTAATGACCCCAACTGTCGATCTCTGTTCCTGAACCCTAAGTGAAAGGCACACGAGGTGTGGGCTGAATAAAAGGGAGTTTTAGTTGGCCTTTGTTGTGGACAAAGTTATCCACAACACAAAACCACTCAGCTAAAGACAGCTACTCCTCCCTGCCTGTTACCTGGCAGTCACCAGGGTTACTGAACACCAACCAATGCAGAGACACAGGGCAGAGGGTGGAAAGGACAAGGCACACCTGATCCTGACCAAGGCAGCCCACTGCCGCCTCTGCTCTTTTCCTCACTCCCCACACTTCTTTGCACCCTGCTCCCCATGAGGACAGTATCTGTTCCCGGGGCACAAGATACTGGGGTTGCTTCCCTTTGAACTCTGCCTGCCTGGAGCGGGATGCCCAGGGAAGACAGTTCAGGCCCAGTTGCCAATGCTGGCAAAAAGTACTGGTGTCTCAGATGAGGAAAGGCCAGTCCACACATGGTGGCTTGGGAACACTCACTGGGGCTGCTCCCAGGCCTCTTAGTCAAGCCTGCTCTGTGTAACATGAAGGTTCCACTCAGCCTTGGAAACAAAGACCAGGCAAAATCAACAACCCCCCCAACCACCTGACCAGCTGGACATTTTACAGAATTGTATAGCATTTGTCTAGTGTGGGCGTCTGCACTCGTGCTCGTGTGGGAGGCAGAGGGCAACTAGCAGAAGGCAGCTCTCTTCCACCATGTGGGTCCTGGGGATTGAACTCAAGCTGTCAGGATTGGCAGCAAGTGCCTTTGCTGGATGGGCCATCTTGCCAGCCCACAGCCTGGCAATTTTTAAGAGGCCAGGTTGAGTGGCATATGTAGTTAGACAAATAGAAGCTGTGTTTTACTTGTCAACGGCCAGCACTTTGAACGGACTGACTAAATGAGCGCTTACTTCCAAGGATGAAGCTCAGCTCCCATTATTATCCTCATACGAGGCAGATCTCAGGGAATCATGGCTTCCAGGGACAGGAAGAGTCCCCTGACTCCCTGTATTTTGTGGAGGGTGGGGTGGGGGAAGCAAAACCCAGGCTGTTCTTAGCCGAGCAAGGAAACTACACTGTGGATATCGCCCTTGACGTGTACCTTTGCTTACGTGGCAATAAGCAAACTTGTTTTCCCTGCAATAAGCATAAGATCAGGCTTCCTCTTGGAAGCCTCCCTTCAATCCCTTACCTCACTGTGGACAAGAGAGCACAAGTCTCTTTATACACACACACCAGACACACTTCAAACTTATGTCTCATGTGCATACCTCTATACCGCGCGCGCGTGCGCGCGCACGCGCGCACACACACACACACACACACACACACACTCCTTTTTGCTAGCTGGGAGCCAAGGAGGGAAGCTTGCCCTGGCCTTCGAGTGTGAGATGAGGGTGAGGTCATTAAGGGAGAGAGAGGTGTCCTTTGGGGGAGACATCAGGCAGTGGGTGGGATCATGGCTGCCAGACGGTCCTCGTAAGTCCTGTGGGAGTGTCAGCTTGTTGTAGAGGGGATCACTCACTCCCCAAAGGTGGATCTGTTAGCTGGATAGGTGTTAGTCACGTGGTGTGCTGTGGGGGATGGGCGTTGAGGGGGCCGGTGGTGGAGTGAGTGGAGTGGCGGCCGATGGGTATGAATTACCTGGGCATGCAGTGAGGCGGGGTAGGTAAAAGCAGCAGCAGGAAGAGCAGGCGCTAACTCCGCTGGGTACAGAGGGTACGGAGCCCACACTTCAGGGCTACTGGGGTAAAGTGTGGGCACTGTGAGCTCGTCTGCAAGAGAAGAACAGGGAAGAGTTAGTGCATCCCCAACAGTGCCTTTCACATCACAGAACAAAACCACCAGCAACCCACGCCCAGGTCCACAGCCACCGCAGGCACAGGTCAAGTTACTCTTGTTCTGCTAACAACCTCCTGTTGGCTTCGCATCCCCAAACTCCAAGCGAAGGGACTGTGAGTCCAGAACAAACAAGGCTTGCATGTGCTGCCTGCCCAGCCACACTGTAGGCCAGGGCTGGGAATACTGTGATGTCTCTCCAAGTGTAGCTAGGACCCAAGAACAGTGGGAATTTCCTGCCGAAACAGAGTGTGGTCCCCTGAGGAATGGGGGGTGGGAGGGAAAGACAGAGAGAGAGAGAGAGAGAGAGGAGAGACATCCCATGAGAACCTCCTATGTGCCTTTCAGAGAACAATGGGTTTCAGCAGGACCCCAACAGGCCAGAATGCCAGGCTGTGTGTGGCTATCAGTATTGTTAAGGACAAACAAACTATGATAAAGCATTTTCCATACAAGTGCAGGGCCAAATCCTGGGACCATAGGACACTATAAACTCTGACCGTGAAGTATCTCAAATGTCTCAATTAAAGTCAGGCTCCTGAGATATGTAATAGGAAGGTTTACAGCGGCGTTTGTTCCGACTGCCTGGTCTGAAAGTTCCTTGTATAGTTAGCCCAGACTCTATTCGGGTCAGGCCACAGTTGCCAGATGGAAGGTCACTTGCCCAGCTGCCCAGTGCATCAGGAAGCAATCTGTTAAAAGCAGAGGTGAGGGCACCACTGAGCTCGGCACAAGCGACAAGGCCGCTCGGTGGACTGGGTGAACCAGCTATCTCAATATTTGCTTTTCTCACCTGTCACCATCTGACATCAAGTACACTGAGGACGCTTCCCAAGACAGCCGAGGGAGGCAGGGCTGTAAAAAGCCATTAGTAACTACCATACTGAAGGATCCAGAAATCCAGGAGGCATGTGACCGGAGGTCAAGAGTTACTTCCCTCCTTGCCATTTCCAAGCAACCTGTCACCATCCTCCACTGCCCTAGAAGCAGTGCTGGATCTGGCCAGTACCACCAATACGGGAAAGGCATGGAAACTGCTGTGCTGGATGTGCCCTGGGTCGAGCTCTATGGAGCAACCAGGAAATGGAGGGAGGGCCTGCAAGGCATGGGGAGGAGACCGGTTTTGCATGGTCAGAACTTCTATGATGGCAGGAGGCTGGGTAACTTGCATTCAGAGGTAGTTCATGCTGATCTCCAGACATACAGGCTCCAAACACTGAGGTACCACGGCTGGCCTCCCTCCTTTCCTCTCCATGCCCCATCTTACAACAGTACAGTTAAAAGCCTGGTGACAGAGACAGACTGTGTACCAAGGTGTAGAGCATCTGACTGTTACTATTAACCAGGGAAACAACAGCACCAACTAATTTCTTTAAAAACCATCGCCAAGTCCACATGTTCAGGTCCTGGGGTGTGTGGTGTGGCCCAAGTTTCAGGGAATCCCTCTGAGGGCTGAGACAAAGCCTTGCAGACCCTGCACTTCCGGCCATGAAGCAACCACATGCTTTCCATCACAGAGGTTCTTGTGGGAGCCTGGCTAGTGGAAACTACTGCTGCCAAAACAGGGACCTTAAATTTTAAACAAACAACGGCTCTCAGAAATGGCAAGCTATTATTGTTGTTATTATTTTAGCTACCGGGCTATTTAAAGATACTCTGTGTCTTTTATAAAAGTCAAGAGAGTCTCATGCCCTAGCACACCAATAACTAGCTCCTGCTTATCTGGCCTTAGAGCTGACTACCAACAAGCATCAACTGGTAGAGGCCAGCAGAGGGGCACACTTGACTGCAGCTAGTCTGTGGGGAGGAGCCTCACCCGAGCAGAGGACTTCCTTCTGATAGTCTGAGAAACGAAAAGATCCACCTGCAGTAGCAGGAGTGCCGGCCTGATGCAGAAGGAAAAAAAAAAAACACTCAGGCTCCCTTCTCAAACAATCCAGGGATATTTTCACCAGGTTTTTAGTAGCTCTACAAACACGTTAAAGAGAGGGAGAAATCCCATCTCATACCATTCTTTTTGTTTGTTTTTGACACAGGGTTTTCTCTGTGTAGCTTTGGAGCCTATCTTGAATCTAACTCTGTAAACCAGGCTGTAAACTCAAGAAATCAGCCAGCCTCTGCCTCCCCAGGACTGGGGCTAAAGGCATGTGCCACTACCACCCGGCCCTCATCCCATTCTTTAAGTATAAAGAAGTTTAAGAGGTGAAAGGATTTTCTGGTTGTTTACTTTCTGGTGCAGCCATAAAGGAGTGGGATGCTGAGCCTGTCTTGACAGTGTACCTTTTCTCCAGTCAGCTGGTTTATTATACCTACAAGACAGGGCAAACTAAATGGAGGGAGAGAACAATGAAGGCATGGTGGACTCTGACTCCAATGTTGATCTCACTGGTGAGGTTAGGGTTCCCAGCCTTTCTACCCTTTTATCCTGGCATAGCTATTCCCCTGCGGACATTTGTACAAACACAGCACACTCAGCAGAATGGAATGTACTCGACATCCCCTACAAGCAAGTGCTGCGCTGACCACATGCAGTGTGGTTAGGGTGAACCTAGAAGCACTCCTCTCTACCCATTTCCAAGAAGGGACCTATGGTTCCTCGAGTAAACGCAGACAGCTGGTACCTGGAAGCCATCCTCACAGCCAAAGCTCCCCTAAAGCATCCTCTCCCAAGAAGATGTCTTTCTGCAGGCTAATGCGGCTGTGAGAAAGAGGCTTCAGAGGGCGGCCTGCCCTGGGAGGAGGGCTTAAATGAAGGGGTGGGACAGGTAGAGTACAGGAGGGCAGCCCCACTTTCCTATCACTTCTCCAGCTCAAGCTAACACGCCAGTGAAGAGACAAGGGCAGCCCAAGGCCCGGGGGATGAAACTCAGCATGGAGGGAGTCAGATCCTCTTGAGAGGCAGACAGAGGGACCGAGTCCTTTACATCTGGACTTAGTCTGACCCTCTTGAGAAGCTGGGCAAATCCTTTCCCACCACACAGCTTACCCCACAACCCTTTGCTCTCTCTCCTTTTGCACCTCTGGGTAACTTGTAGAGGGCAAATTACTCAATTGGTCGTAAATAATCCCGAAACCGAAGGATATCTGCTCTCAAAAGCTCCAACTCTGTTCTGAGGAACAAGGACTAGTGGCTTCCAACTCTACTCCCTAATCTCCAAAAGGGAAGTGACGATGGAGGCTCGTGAGAGAGCCCCTGGACGATTTTACCTCAAGTGAGGGCATAAGAGGCCAAGCTTCCGATCCAAGGAGAACCTCTAAAGGGACTAAGGTCAAAGAACTTGCCGTTGCTATTTTGCCTCCTAGAAGGGTCTGTTTGGAACGTTGCAGAAGAATACACTCACCTGCATAAGACGCTCAAAGCAAACAGGAACGAACCTGCCTGCCTGCCTCCCTCCAGACTCCATTAAGGGACCCCTTCCACTGCTTTTCTGAAACGGGCATGCAAGATTGTTGCCTTGCTTTCCCTGGGCCCTGAATCAGTGTTACCATGCACTCCTACTTCAGCCACCCACGTGGCATTAAAGTCCTTCTCTTGAAATTCTCTTGCTTGCCACCCCAACGCCAGCATAACTAAAAAATACAATTTGGTGTCATCACACCCCCCCCTTTCAAAGTTCCCCACATAGCCCCCTCCACTCCCAGGGTGGCCCAAAGCCCTTCTGCTTTCCCAGTGGTTCAGGCCGTGCCTCGCTCCCTCCCACTCAGGCCTCTAGCACCATTCTCCCCTCGGGTCAACTGGCTTTGGCCCTTCAGGGGACATCCCTTCTCCCTGTCTGGGCCCGAAACCTTGCTTGCTTTCCGCTGCATTCCTACCCTACCTAAGGCAATCATATGGCCCTGCTTGCTGCAGGTAAGCTTCTACCCCAGCGTGCCCAAGCCTAGCACAGACTAGCACACAGCCAAGCGATTGCAGTTAACAAATGAAGCCATATCCTCCATCCTGCCTCAAGGGTGGAAGTAAGTCACAGATTACTTCTCCCCTCCTAGGAAAGAAACATTCAGAAGAGCACCAAGATCTAAAAATCTCCTAGTGAATTTACAGGAAGCCAGGTCTCTCGTCACACTCAGTTCCACCCTACCCACCCCTACCCCAGTCCAGCAAAGGCAATACGCTATTACAGACAGTGGAGGGCGGCACACACCTCAGTTCCAGCTTTTAGAGCACCCAATTATTTACTACAATAAAGGAAGGACAATTAGAAACCAGAAATATGTTTCATATGATGAAAATCAGTGGCCATGACATGGAAGATGCAAACATCGAGAACTTTTTTTTTTTTTTTTTCTTTTTGAGACAGGATTTCTTTTCTCTGTGTAGTCCTGCAACTAGCTCTGTAGATCAGGCTGGCCTGGAACTCTCAGAGATTTGACTGCCTCTGCCTCCTGAGTGCTGGGATTAAAGGCATGTGCCAACACCACCCAGTTTACAGAGATATTTTCAAGTAAGAATGTTGAACAGTAAGGATTCATGTTTAAGGCCTGAGCATATATGATCTAAGAATGGCCTTATTCTTCTCTAGAAATCTTACAAAACTATAGACCTTTTTTAACTGTAAAAATTACCTTAACTTCTCATGCGATCCTTGTGAGTTTATTATCAGTTGTAAGTATCCAGCCCACACCAGAAACTGACCTACAACCTTCCTGGAAGTGGGGAGGAGTGTGAATGCCCACCTGTCTGTTCCTGGCTGAGAATCTACAGTTTGGTGGCAGGGACACAAATCACCACAGTAAATGTCTGGGTTCAGCCAGGTGAGCTAACTGCACTACATACTGGGCAAGCAAGGAGAAACAGGGAGAGGCTGGTTCTGACTTGTAGACCTTGGCCATGTCTCCCACTTTAGTTGTTAATTTAGGATTCCTCCTACTCCAATGTAAATATACTACAGTCACCAAGCTGAACCCATCCAAAAGATGACCAGAGTTTGAATCCCTG